TTTTTTCCTTCTAGACATTAAATCTCCTATTATAATGAGCACAGAGCAATTTGATCATGAGTTTGAGATAGAGTTTCTAACTTTTTTTTCTAACCTTCTTTTAGCATCCTCTGAAAAAGGGTCCTGTTTTCTTTAGTTGCTTTGTTCTTTTTGGAATGTAAAAGATGCCAAGGCATGATGAGAGATTTAGCAAAGAAATTAATGGGTGGCTTATGGATATGTATCAAGGATTCTATGTGATTGTGATTTGTGATTGTGCTATTGGATTCAAGGATGGATACAAAGAATGGGTGAGTTTTGGAATCAACCGTAATTGCAAGTTTTCAGAGGAACAAAAGTTAATTGGTTCTCAATTTTTTAAAATTCATGATAATTTGATTGTTGAATTCACCCTGCTCATTGGGGCATGGCTGCTTTGCCGTACTTCGATGAAATCAATCCTTTAACAATTTATGTCCTTCTCATTACCTAGAATGTTTTTCCTCCCTTTCCTTTTTGGTTTTTGCTTTCTTATTTTTAAGGTGTCTTTGTATTGTTGTTCTGTTTTCTGGTTATAATTGTCTGTTTTCTTTCATCTGACGATTCTTGATATCATCTTTGCTTTCAACACTTAAACTTCTGTTATTAATAAACATAATGAAAAATGGATTCAATACTTTTGGTTGAATAGCTTGATTGTGATTTTTCCCTTTTGGTTTTAATTAACAGTTATAACTTAGTTTTAATTTTGTGATTGATTTCTCTATGCCTGATATGATTGCCCTTTTGTTTTGAAACTTTATACAATCTTTATTCTTAAAACTTGAAATCTGTTGTTGAGTGTGGAAGGGTTTGAACTTTAAAGCCATGCAAAAAAAAGTTTTCAGAGGGTTGGATCGTGAGCAATTGGGCGGCTTAAGTGAAAAAAATTTGATTTTATGCTGATTACAGACCATATCCAGAGAGACCTACTTAGAGATGCTCCTCCTTTGAAGAAATCTCAAATACCACTAATGCTGTTGGCTCTGGTATTTTGGATGCTTTCTTTGTATATTTCTGTTTGTTTCAAGCTTATCTTAGAGGTCTTTTAGTTTTCTAATGTTTGCATTTAGTTTGATGGCCTTCCTGTTAAATTGTTGGGCAGGAGCTTTTACCATTAGCAAAGCATTTTTAGGGCAAATTTTATATTGTTGCTGCTGTGTTGTTACCTGTTTATAATCCATTATGGCAATCTTCCAGTGGAGCAATGAGATGAGTTTAAATTGTATGGTGAAATATTACTGATTTTCACAGGGTAGAGAATTAGGCATGTTTGTTGGTTCAGGGATGACTTTATGTAATCACAAGCTTTGTTGGTTCCAAGTCCTGAGATTTTCCTTTCTATTGAAATTTATTTGCATTTAAAATGCATTATGATCATCATGACACCCTTGGAATATGTAGCAAACTCGCTGCAACTTATGATGCTATGGGCAGGTAATGTTTATTTCGATCTACATGCAATTTCTTTAATGGTAAAATTGCAGATCTGATTCTTTATGTTTTGCATAATGAGCACTTAGATCCCAAAACTTAAGATTCATTCATTTAGGTCCCAAAGACCGGCCTTTCTTCTTGCAGTTCAGTCCCTCAGCTTTCAGAAGATGTTCAATTAATTCCAAAAACTCCTGTTATTATGCATTCAAGTCTTTTTTTGCATAAAGAATGAAAATCATGTAAAATCTTATAAAATTCATCCAAATATTAATAATATCAAGGTAGAAATTTCATATTAATGTATATATAAATTCAGTTCACTGTTCTGTTATCCCAACTCCAACCATCCAGCCTTTTAAGCTTGTCTTTTTCCCTGTTACAACAGGAATTAAAAAACAGAGATTATCTAGTATGACTGAAAGTAAAAACCAAATTCATTTTCTACAATTATATTGACAAATAAGGGTATAAAGTAGCCATCACGATTTCATAATTTTTGGGGTGGAAAAGGAATGACAGGGAAGAGCCACAGCCAAGGAGAAAGAAGAAAGCAGTAAAGCAGGTTTTTTTTTTTAATTGTAAATACCTTTTCGAACTTTGCTTGAAACCAGATGTCACGCGTAGGACACCTGATTACTTCCTTTGAAGCAGCTATCTTTACATTACATTGACTCCAGTTTCTCTACTTTTTCCTCCTTTCCTCTTCCTCTTAAGGTGGTCAGGCGGTTGTGGGCTTGACTTAGGAGATGTGTCACATTTAGTACCTTCCTCTATGTAGTTCTTCCAGGGCATGGTTTTGATCAATTTGAGTGACGACGCATATACATTAGGCTAAGAAAATGGCCTTTAATCTTTACTGATACTGTCAGAGAAATTGTGCAGCTCACACAAGACTGACAATGTAAGAATTTTTTTGTGTGTAGATTTTCTTCTTTTATCATTTCCTATTTGTTTATCCCAACAGG